TAATGAAGCCCGGGAAATTCAAATCCCGGGCTTCATTAGCAAGTGCAGTATGCATACATTACCCTCCTAGTTCGAACTAGGAGGGTAGTGTAGACATACCCAGTGTGAGTCAGGGCTGGGAGCCAAAACAATGCTGTCAGGCTCTGAAATAGGTATAGACAGGGGGACCAACAGACTTGCTGGGCCCCTGAGCAATGGGGGGGAAGAGTGTCCATGCTCCTAGAAGGGTTTAGACCTCAGGCAGAAGAGGTGGGGCTGGGGCAACCAGCCCTGAGCACTGCTTGGATGGCAGTATGCCGCCCCCTCAGCCCTGAGCACTGCTTGGAGCGTGGGTTGGACTATGGGCAGAGTTTAATCCTTAACTTTTAAATAGAATGACAGGACTTGCATTAACTGACCTTCAAGTGGAACCTCTATATCACCATATGTGACTTGCAGATGCGAACATAACCGTCCCATGTAAAGTAAAAACAGTCATGTCCTGAGTAATGTGATTCTCAATACAATCATAATGGGACATCAATTCTAGCTACAAACATGCAGCAAAACAAGAGCGTATTTCTTCTCTTCTAATACTCCAAAGCAAATGTGAAACCAAGGTCCAGACTGTCAACATTAAAAATGTTTTCAAGACGACACTTAGCTGTCGGAAATGGATTGTTAGACATTAAGGGAGCTTGGTGTATTGATCCTAAAACTCCAGGGAGGCCATTAGCAGTGAACAATTGTTGATAATTCCAAACTTCAAGGCAGCCTTATACAATTTGCAGATGGCCAAAGGTCACTTTTTATCATTATTTTCCTAATTCCACCATCAGAACTGTTTGATCTTTAAAATACAGTAAATCCTCGCCATTCACGGTGGATGCGATCCTGGCGGCAGGTAGAAGAGGGCAGGAGAAGGCACAGTCTTCCCAACCGCCAGCCTTGACCCACCCACGCTCCGCCCCCAGCTCTGGTCCCCTTTCAACGCATTTCCTGCCTCAAGTCTCCCAGGGCTATCTGGGCTTCAGGCTCATAGAGACTGGGGCCAAGCACTGCCCGTACTCCAGGGCCAGGGGGCCACACACTGCATCTAGGTTCGGGGGGGGCGCACACACCCTCCAGAACCAGGAACCCAATCCCCTTGCTCTAGGGAAGGCGGGGGCTGCACACCGCCTGCCCTCTCAGGGATGTAAAATCCTGTTTAATCAGTTAACCAGTTGTACGTTATGTTTAACCGATTAAACAGGGGCAGGCAGGAGTGGGCCAGGCCTGCCGGAGCAGGGGCTCCAGCCCCTGCCGGTTAATCGTAACCAGTAAGCATCACCCAATAGGGTTAACCAGTTAACCATTCTCATCCCTATGCCTTCCCACCGCCTGCCCTCCCTCTCCCCCATGCTCTGGCTGATGCCTGGGAAGACTGGGGCTGTGTGCCACCTGCCCTTCCTCTCTCCTGTGCTCTGGCTGGGCCTGTGGAAAGCTGGAGCCACATGCTGCCTTGCCCTCCCACCCCATGCTCCCAGGCGAGGGGGGTAGGCTAGGGCCGTGCACTGCCCATTGGGGAAGGGGTGTCCTGCCTCTACAAGGTCCTGAGAGGCAGAGGTGGAGCAAGGGCTTGCTTCCCCCAGCTCTGAGTTCACCTAATGTCCATGTAGAGACTGGAACTCTGTGAGAAAGGGGTGGGGGGGGAGAGACTTAAATTAACCAGGTTTCTCCTGGAGCCCTGTGGGAAAGCGTAGGTACAGAGTGACCCGGCTCTAAGTTGCTCCGGTACACATCCGTTCTGCACTAAGGTGATTGACACTTGTAGGAACTGATGCGTTATTGAGTCCGCCCATTCCCTGCTCTTAAGTTGCATTAAAAAAAACCAAATCAATCTGTGCAAATGAAAATCAGCCACAGGAAAAAAAATTCCTGCTTTAAGTTGTTTCACTGTAAGTCCCAGTTTTTTAGGATGTATCTTGGACTTATAGCGAGGACAGGAAAGAGATCTTGGAGTCATCGTGGATAGTTCTCTGAAGACGTCCATGCAGCGTGCAGCGGCAGTCAAAAAAGCAAACTGGATGTTAGGAATCATTAAAAAAGGGATAGAGAATAAGACACAGAGTATCCTATTGCCCTTATATAAATCCATGGTACACCCACATCTTGAATACTCCATACAGATGTGGTCTCCTCATTTCAAAAAAAGATACACTGGCATCAGAAAAGGTTCAGAGCAGGGCAACTAAAATGATTAGGGGTTTGAAACGGGTCCCATATGAGGAGAGATTAAAGAGACTGGGACTTTTCAGCTTGGAAAAAAGAAGAGACTAAGGGGGGATATGATAGAGGTCTATAAAATCATGAGTGGTGTGGAGAAAGTGAATAAGGAAAAGTTATTTACTTGTTCCCATAATATAAGAACTAGGGGCCACCAAATGAGGCAGGAAGGTTTAAAACTAGGGCAGCAGGTTTAAAACAAATAAAAGGAAGTTGTTCTTCACACAGCGCATAGTCAATCTATGGAACTCCTTGCCTGAGGAGCTTGTGAAGGCTAGGACTATAACAAGGTTTAAAAGAGAACTAGATAAATTCATGGGGCTACGTCTAGACTACATCCCTTTTTCGGAAAAGGGATGTAAATTAGACATATCGCAATTGCTAATGAAGCGGGGATTCAAATCTCCCCCGCTTCATTAGCATAAAAATGGCTGCCGCTTTTTTTCAACACGGAGCTTTGCCGGAGAAAAGCGCCAGTCTAGATGCTGATCTTTCAAAAGATAAAGCCTTTTCCAAAAGATCCCTTATCCCTCCTGAAATAAGGGATAAGGGGTCTTTCGGAAAAGGCTTTATTTTTCGAAAGATCAGCATCTAGACTGGCGCTTTTCTCCGGCAAGACTCCATGCCGAAAAAAAGTGGCCGCCATTTTTATGCTAATGAAGCGCAGGAGATTTAAATCCCCCCTTCATTAGCAATTGCGATACGTCTAATTTACATCCCTTTTCCGAAAAAGGGATGTAGTCTAGACGTAGCCATGGAGGTTAAGTCCATTAATGGCTATTAGCCAGTATGGGTAAGGAATGGGGTCCCTAGCCTCTGTTTGTCAGAGGGTGGAGATGGATGGCAGGAGAGAGATGGCTTGATCATTACCTGTTCGATTCACTCCCTCTGGGACACCTGGCATTGGCCACCGTTGGCAGAGTACTGGGCTGGATGGACCTTTGGTCTGACCCAGTATGGCCATTCTTATGTTCTTATGTTCAGCCTGTATCTTGCATCTGGAGCCCTCAGTAAGCAATGGGTAGGGGCGCCTAAAATTACCAGGTCATGCCCTGACACAGGGTGTGGGTGGGAGGACTCTGGATTGTGTGGGACACATGCTACATTGCATCTGCTGAGAGACAGACCAAAGCAAACACATCACCCCAATGCTCCATTCAGTTCAGTCTGCTCCCTTCCCAATACCACATCAAATACACAATCCTTGCACTGATCTTCAGCTACCTCACTATGATGGCCTTAAACTATCTCAAGAGTCACCACAATTATGGCAGATGCTTTTGGGTGCACCATGGAATTGTTCAGTTGTGGAAGGGGGAAGACAGTGCTTTCTTAGTGCTTGACCCATGGTTACCAATCCCAGCCTAATGCAATAGCATGCAGACAGTAACAACCAACCCTGAAGCAGCAAATATACTGCAACTACGTCTACACTGGCATGATTTTCCGGAAATGCTTTTAACGGAAAAGTTTTCCGTTAAAAGCATTTTCGGAAAAGCGCGTCTAGATTGGCAGGACGCTTTTCTGGAAAAGCATTTTTCCGGAAAAGCATCCGTGGCCAATCTAGACACGCTTTTCTGCAAAAAAGCCCCGATCGTCATTTTCGCGATCGGGGCTTTTTTATGGAAAATACTACTGTGCTGTCTACACTGGCCCTTTTCTGGAACAGTTTTCCGGAAAAAGACTTTTGCCCGAACGGGAGCAGCATAGTTTTTCCGGAAAAGCACTGATGATTTTACATTAGATCGTCAGTGATTTTCCAGAAATTCAAGCGGCCAGTGTAGACAGCTGGCAAGTTTTTCCGAAAAAGCGGCTGATTTTCCGGAATGACTTGCCAGTGTAGACACAGCCCAAGTGTTGCCCACAAAAAGGAGACTAGGGAATGGAAGAGAGGGATATACAAAGGCAAAGAAGGAAGATGGAAGACATATGAGAAGAATGGAGAAAAGAAAGGAAGGAAGAGGAATGTGAGAAAGAAAAACCTTTAGATTTGTAATAACTTGTAGACTTGTTCAAGGAAAAGAGGGAAGAACCCCAGGAGTACACACACTTTTCTTCATTCATATCTTTGTAAGACACTCAGATGCAACTGAGGTGGGCTATGCCTCAGGATAAGATTAGCTGGCGGGATGGAATTATTATTATTCCTTACTTGATCTGTTGTTCCTTGCGTTTCTGGGTGAGGTATTTCTTCTTCACATTCAGAAGCTCATTGCCAAGTCTCTCTATTTCATACTTGTACTCTTGGCTCTGTGACTCATACATGTTCAGTTCTGAAGACAAAACCTAACAAACCAAAAGCAAAAAGAAAGGAAATATGAAGCCAGCTGCACAAGTTACTTCTTTCCCCTAGCAGATAAAACCTCTGACTACCTGAAGACAATGTACAGAGTTAAAGCTATACCGCATACCTCCCCAAGCATCTTGAGAGTGACATTAACATTTACTGTAGTTCTCTGCCTTCCTGGGCCCCAATGTGAGGCAAAGACCCAAAATAAGGAGCACAGACAAATAACTCGCCAAGGAACTTTAAAATGACATAGGATCCATCTTTACCACAAATTATATTTTCCTATCATTTCAGTGTCTTGATTATTCACTTGTGATGTAAATAATTTACAGCAATGAAAGTAAGGAAAAGGCGTATTTATGGGGACTGGAGAAAACTGTGGCTCTCAAAATGAAAGCTGCCCACTATCATGAGGGAAAGCTGAGAGATATACTATGAGCTGGGCATTTCCAAACGCCGTTCAGTGCTTGCAGCTAGAGTTGTGCTTTCTCTCTTTACTAGTCGGGAGAGCTGGCTGGTGCGACAGACGCAGAGCAGCTGGCTACAGTAGCCTGGGGAAGGTAAATACACAGGCAACTGGATGAATAGTTTTCTGTTCCCTGAGTGACCAGGGCAGGGTCTGGTGGAGAGTAATTAGGTCAGACAGACATCTGGAGCCAACTGGAAGTAGCCTGAAGCAAAAGAGAGACAGGCTAATTAGGTCACCTGAAGCCTGTTAAGGACCTTCTGGGGCTGGTTTAAAAGGCTTCCCTTCAGAGGGGGCTGTGTGGTGTGGTGGGAAGGAAGAATTTCTCAGGAACTACTGCTGGGTTTGGGGGAAGTGGCCCAGAGAAAGGCTGCAAGACTGCGGGTGGATGAAAACACTGAGCAGTTGCCAGTGCCTCAGGGTCGCTGGCTGGAACCTGGAGAAGTGGGTGGGCCTGGGTTCCCCCCAACCCTCCCCACACCACTACAGATCTGGGGAAGACTGGAACCATGAAGAGGTTTCATCCCAATCCACTGGCTGGCCGGTGATGAGGGTGGCTCAGTAGACTGTGACCCCTGGTTCCAATAAAGGATGAGACCACCGCGAGCCTCTGAGACTACCACTAACTGCCTAGAAGTGCAGGTCACTCCCTCCCTGCCAGAGCTGTGCCACACTGAGTTCTAGACTTCTAGGCTACATCTACACTGGCATGATTTTCTGGAAATGCTTTTAACGGAAAAGTTTTCTGTTAAAAGCATTTTCGGAAAAGAGCATCTAGATTGGCACGGATGGTTTTCCGCAAAAGCACTTTTTACGGAAAAGTGTCCGTGCCAATCTAGAAGCGCTTTTGCGCAAAAAAGCCCCGATCGCCATTTTTGCCATCGGAGCTTTTTTGCACAAAACAGTACTGTGCTGTCTACACTGGCCCTCTTGCGCAAATGATTTGCGCAAGAGGGCTTTTGCCCGAACGGGAGCAGCACAGTATTTCTGCAAGAACACTGACAATCTTACATGAGATCGTCAGTGTTCTTGCGGAAATTCAAGCGGCCAGTGTAGATAGCTGGCAAGTTTTTCCGCAAAAGCAGCTGATTTTGCGGAAAAGCTTGCCAGGCTAGACACAGCCCATCTACACTGGCATGTGCCTTTGCGCAAGAGATGTGCTTTTGCGCAAGAGCGTCCTTGCCAGTGTAGACATTCTCTTGCACAAGAAAGCTCTGATGGCCATTTTAACCATAGGGCTTTGTTGCACAAGTAATTCGTGTTGCCTGTCTACATTGGCGTCTTGTGCAAGAACAGTTGCGCAAGAGGGCTTATTCCTGAGCGGGAGCATCAGCATTCTTGCGCAAGAAGCACTGATTTCATACATTAGAACGTCAGTGTTCTTGCACAAGAACCCGCGGCCAGTGTAGACAGGCAGCAAGTTTTGGCACAAAAGCGGTGGCTTTTGCGCAAGATCGCACCAATGTAGACACAGCCATAGGGTGTAGAGCACATGTTACTCTGGAATCTTTCTGCCACCAGCCTCTACTGCTATATCAATGCTCCTAACTGAAGGACGATTTTAGACGTCTTATTCTACTAGCTTCTGTTGTGCACCCTTTCAAGACATTCATAAATATCTGTTTCATGTGGACATGATGAGAAGTGAATGGGAACTGTAATGCTGCATTTTTTGTTCCAGATGACCCACTGTATTACAGAATGTAATTTATTCCATATACACCATTATTGGCAAGATCCTGATCCTGTTTAAATCAATGAATTTGGAAATAGGATCATGTCAAATACACTTTCCTGCTGCAGGAAGAAAAATATTGAGAACAGTCAACGTTTGATACCATGGAGATGTTCCTATTAGAAAGAGAAACTAGTGAGAGTCAGGTATTTTCTATGATGCAGCATTGTTTATTTACAAGGAACATATAAATTCCTGCTTCTCCAAATGCAGGAGGAACCAAAAACAGTAAGAGCTGGTTTTTTAGCTTATAACCCCAAACAAACCCAAAAATTCTCTCTCCGGTTTTTCCAGAGTCACACCGTGTTCATCAGCTAGTGTTCGGCGTCCTTGCTTTTTGCCTCTGCCACACTCACTCTCTGTCCTCAGTCTCTCCCGGTTTTTGGACTGTTCTCTCTCACACACACATAGGCTGTGTCTACACTGGCATGAATTTCCGGAACTGCTTAAAACGGAATACTATTCCGTTTTCAGTTTTTCTGGAAAAGGAGCATCTACATTGGCAGGCTGCTTTTCCGGAAAAGCCCTTTTTCCGGAAAAGCGTCTGTGGCCAATGTAGACTCGCTTTTCCGGAAAAGACTACTGGGCTGTCTACACTGGCCCTTTTCCGGAACAGTGTTCCGGAATAAGGATTTATGCCCGAGTGGGAGCAGAATAGTTTTTCCGGAATAGCGGCTGATTTTGTACAGTAGAGCATCGTTGCTTTTCCGGAAATTCAAGGGCCAGTGTAGACAGCTCGCAGCTTATTCCAGAAAAGTGGCTGATTTTCCGGAATAAGTGGCCCAGTGTAGACACAGCCATACCCTTCTACTCAAAACAATTCTGTCTTAAGTGGGGGCTAATAATGGCAACAGCTAAGCTCAGACAGCAAATGTCCATAGTATGGAGCAGCCACGATTCTGTACAGTTGATTCCAGGCTTCTAAGAGATCCACAGGACTATTAATTATTTGGTGCAATCACATGGCCGCCGCCAGTCCATGACCAGGCAGCAGGGACTTTGATGAGCAGGGACTTTGTCTCAAGATGGGCCACAGGACCCAAAAGGGTCAGTCAGCAGTGGCCAGTGATGACTTCAGTCTTTTCTGGGCCAGTTCTCCATGATACTTCCCCACTACTGATAAAGTCAAACCATCTTATATGCAGTAGTCACTGTGGACAATGCGTATGAAGTGCTGTCAACCTCCTGATGTTTTGTTTGAGCCATGCTCCTGTGTCAGACCCACCTAGGAGAATCTGAAGTATGCAGGATTCAAAATCCATACTTTTTTTATATAGTTTCAACTTTTGTTCACTCCAGACACTATGCAGGTCCTTCGTGGCTGAGGTGGCTAACCCTAGCATGTCTGGAGAGTTGCTGTGACGTAGTGGGGGTACCTGGCTGGTTTCTATGCTGCTGGCTCTGGGGTAACCCCCACTGGCTGCTGTGGGTACCACGACCCAGCAAAACAGGATGAGTCACTATGCAAACCAGTGGCCAGACACCCCCCATGGAGAGGAACAAAGGAAGGTGGAATGCTGCCCTGGCTGGGGGGCAGGACCTCTGCTGTCTGGAGCAAGACCCAGCAGGGAAAACCTCACTATGCAAAGGTGATGCCAAACTGGTTGAACCAGATACCCCCCATAGAGAGGAACAAAGGAAGGTGGAGGCTGCCCTGGCTGGGGGGGCAGGGCTGGAAGAGAGTGAGTTTAGTTGTGGGCTGGGAGCATGGAGGAGACAGCCTAGGGAAAGGGGCTGGAGTTTAGGGGCCCCGTCTCCCCCATCTCAAGGGGGCCTGAGGCATCCTAGCCCAGCTCTGTGACCAGATTCCATCTGTGCTGTGCTGTATCCTGGAGAGGCAATAAACTTCCTCTATCCCACCGGTTGGTGCAGTCTGTTTGTGCCATTTCGGGGTGCAGGAGACGGGGGACCCCCAACGCGCCGTCACAGTTGCGTCTGTTTGAAGTCAGCCTACTGCCTATGTAGATGAAATACTCCTTCCATGGATTTGTCCAGGAGCAGTACAAGATTTTGTATACAACTTCTGCGCTGACACTCTGGATGTTTGCTTTTTCCCAGGAAATCATTGGTCCAAAAGCAGGTGCTTTGTGCTGGAAGTTCATCAGTGTAGCTTTAAGGTTGTTTTGCCTCCTGACCAAAGAGGATGACATCATCCACATAATCCGGGTTGGTAAAAGAAGTTAAACTGACAGTTATACTGCTGTTTGTGGAGTATGTGGAAGGAAGCAATCTATTGGGATGGAGCCAGACACATCCCTACTTCACCCTGGATCTAGTGTGAAATCTGTGAAACCTCTGGGTCCCCCAGTGCACCCATGCCCCTGAATCATTATGTAGGTCTTGAATTAGCCTCAGGAGGATGTCAGAAACACGGATGCCCCGCAGGATCTTCCACGAGGCAGCTTAGTCTAAAAGTTACATAAACTGACAGGTGAGTTCATAGCTATCAGTCTCAGTGACGTTTTAACTCAACCATAACCAGATTTCACTCAGCACATAAGTGTATGTTGATCTGGTGCAGCAGAACAGCATGTATGTCTGTCTGCTAATGGCATACTGTGTGTGAGGAAATAAAAATGAACACAACAGCAATGTAATGCATTACAGACCAATGGAAACTCAAAGGCAAACTCTGAATTGCTTTCAGCATTGCTAAACTGCTGCTTCTATTTTACATTTTCTGTATTTCTTTTTTCCAGTGGATAAATAAGATTTGCATAAAACAGACTCCTTGTTTATTGAGGGTCCATCTGCTCCTGGAAGATTTTCTCTCCTGGTGTAGAGTTGATTATGATGCAGCAAACAGAAGATGATGACTTCAACATGGAAAGGAGCTGCATGAGCAGATGAACTCCGGCGGAGAAGGCTCTTGCTTTCATACAGTCAAGAACAAGAAAAGAGCCCTACATTATATATAAGCAGAATTGCTTCTCAATATCACAGCTTCAAAAAGTTCTCCATGAGGCATAAGCAGCTCTTCAGAATCAGGAAATCCTGATTTCTAGTGATAAGAGGTTAAGACAGATTCCTCTTCTCAGCCCTGTAATAAGAGGTGAGACTAATGTATACGTAATGCGCTGTGAGCTTAATAGAGAGGTCACTGGATGAAATTCGCTGCCCTGTGCTAGACAAGAAGTCAAACTAGATAATCCAACAGTCCCTGCTGATAATAATGGAGAACCGGTGGAACTCCTTGCCAGAGGAGGCTGTGAAGGCCAGGACTATAACAGAGTTAATAAAAGAGCTAGATAAATTCATGGAGGTTACGTCCATAAAAGGCTATTAGCCAGGGGGTAAGGAATGGTGCCCCTGGCATATGTTTGTCAAAGGCTGGAGAAGGATGTCTGGAGACAAATTGCTTGATCATTGTCTTCGGTCCACCCCCTCTGGGGCACCTGGCACTGGCCACTGTCAGTAGACAGGATACTGGGCTAGATGGACCTTTGATCTAACCCAGTTGGCCATTCTTATGTTCTTATGAGGGAAATATCAAGAATTTCCACTAGCTTGTTAAGTGGAATGTGAAAATGTTTTTGACTCACTTATTAGAAGATTGACGAGTGATAGAAATGTAACTGTGTTAGTCTGGTGTAGCTGAAACAAAATACAGGACTATGTAGCACTTTAAAGACTAACAAGATGGTTTATTAGGTGATGAGCTTTCGTGGGCCAGACCCACTTCCTCAGATCAAATAGTGGAAGAAAATTGTCACAACCATATATACTATTATACATATATATTAGAAGATCTCATTCATTTAAGAAAAAATGAAATTAAGCATAATGTAAAATCCTGTAGTAAAATCCTGTAGTATCTCAAAATGTCCATGTGGATGAACTCTTAAATACGCTGTAAATTAATATTCGAATTGAACTTTCATTTCTTCTTTTTTTAATGAAACAAATAAACATAACCTTAATCAATTCTATTCTCAGAATGCTTAGGAAGTTTACACATTAGTAAAATAACCTCCGTTTATCTTCCCCAGCAGAGAGGCTGTGAATATTATTATGGACTTTTCTACTGAAAGCACAGTTTACAGGTAGTGCTTGTATTTCACAATATTGTATGGTAGAGTGGAGAAAAGTCAAGTCAATGCTCATGAATATACCTGCAATTACATGTACAATTCTGTCCACCATGGAAACAAAGAACAAAGGGAAGTGGTGGAGTCTACATCTGTTGAAGTCTTCAAATGAAGACTAGATCCCTTTCTGGAAGATAAGCTTAAGGGAGGTTACTGGGCTTAATAGAGGGGTCACTGGATGAAATTTTCTGCTCTGTGCTAGACAGGAAATCAGGCTAGATAATCCAACAGCCCCTGCTGATGTTAAAAACAAATCTAAGGATCTATTAAAAAGAAGTCAATGTCTGAAATATAACTGCTTCCATTAGCCTTTGAGGACAGACCAATAAGTAAGGCCTATGTCTTGTCCAAGGAAACCTGTTGAGTTAGTAAGTACTCACAGAGCACATTATTCCTGGACTGAACTACAAGGTGTTCTTTCACAGACTTATCTGGAAGAAATGAAGAACCTACTTATTGATCTGCCCTCGATGGCAAATGGAAATGGTTAGGTTTCAGACGATTTTCAGAAAGGATCGTTCTCAACTGATGGCCCAATCTTTGCTTGCAGAGACATTTCATAATAATTCGTCATCTTTGATAATTGATACAGCAGCTCCTGTTTACTCTCTTAGGGTATGACTACACTACAGAGTTTTTTTTCGGGAAAACGGCCTTTTTTCCGAAAAAATTTGAATTACATCCACACTACAATCATGTTTTTTCGACAGAAAATCGAAAGAACAGAGGGGTTTTTCCGACATTGGTGATCCTCATTCTATGAGGAAGAAGCCTTTTTCTGAAAGAGCTCTTTTCAGAAAAAGGCATGTGTGGATGGGGAAGAGGGAGTTATTTCGAAAGAAGAGGAAAGAGGAAAAAGCACAGGTGCCCTGGTGATCACTCCATCCATAGTAATCACAGCTGAAATGTGAGATAGCGTCCATTCAGCGTGGACGCTCTCTTTTGAAAAACCAGTTCACTTTTTCGATGCACTTTTGCTGTGTGGATGCTCTCTTTCGGAAGAAGGTTTTCCGAAATGTTCTCTTCCAGAAAAGCTTCTTCCAAAAGAAGCCTGCAGTCTAGACATAGCCTTAGATTTTTATCTATTGACTAATCAAGCTGAGAAGATCCAGTCATTTTAATTTTTCCTTGTAAAACAATATTTTCAGCCTTTTTGGATTCATTACTATTCCCCTCTGAATTTCTACTAAAATCCTGATATCTTTTTGGCATTGTAGTGGGCAGAGCTGTGAGTATTATGCCACTGTTTCCTGGAGAACGTAGGGTTGAATTATCCTGCATTGACAAATATCAGGACAAGACAAGACTACTAAATGAAGAAAACAATGCTCGTTCCTCATACTTGAAAGATCTTCAGCATCACAGCTCAGTGTGGAATATGGATGCATAAAAAATGGAGAGGAAATCGCTGAACTGCTAAATAACCGTGTAGGTAAGTAAGGAAAACCAACATATCTTTTGATATGCAGCTATGGTATAAGAAGTGTCCTATTTTAAAATGTTTGTTCTACTTTCCCTGACATTATTCTTTCTTATCTTTTCACACTTGCTGTCCCCCTTACTGTACTGCAGTATTATTGGCCACACAGTGAAAGAAAGCACAGTGAAGAATTACAGTATTCTGAAAAACCCGTGATGGGGATTCATTTTTTAACTCCTTGTCCCCTCTCCCCAGAGAGTGAGGCTCAGGTTCTTACTGCCAAAAGATGCTTTGGGAAGACAGACTTCCCTGCGCAAAGTGCTGATATAGCCCTATAAGCATCACAGCCCTTTAAACGGACTTCCAATCTGATTCATCCCATCAAGGGCATCTCTTACTTTCAGTTGCTTGGTCTTCTCTCTGAGGGTATGCCGGTAGAGCTGCAACTGTTCTGCGGCTTCGGGCCCAGGCTGCCGGGCCAAAATATGCTTCAGTTCTACGTACAGCTTTTCTTTTTCCTAAGAGATGCAATAAGCAGAAGAACAGTTCATAAGTGCTCTTATTTGCAGCTACAGTACTAACAGTACGACCTGTATTTACATCAACCCGGTGGAAAGATGCAAGTAACTCTAGCAGCTATTTGCAGAAACAAATCTGCCTGTGTGTTAGTGTCTGCCTTGCTAGCCATAAGGTATTTAAAGTTGTTGTGATAGCAATGGGATAGCTCATTAAGAGAAACACTCAGCTAGTTCATACCAAGAATTAAACATTCTTAAACACTGTCATCAGCAAACCTGCTTTGGCACAGGGAGTCTGAAACGGAGTCAACAGAAACGCTGTCAAGGAGAAAATTACTTACCCGTTATTATGTTTATTGTAGCCCACTTCTCTCACCCCCATCACTTTACACTAAGGGATATAGTTCCACCTGCCTGGCTGTAAAGAGCCAACAGAACTGTCAATCACGGCCTGTATAAAAGAACCAGCCCACCCACTTTCTCCGGCAAATAGAAGCCTACAGAACAAATAAATATATAAGGAAACCAAACAACACACACCATTAACTGAGAGAGCCCCCAAGGGGATGTGGGAGGAAAGGAAAATTAGGGATGACTATGACAAACACAATTACCAGTGAGCAATTTTTTCTTGTCATATGTCTCCTCTTCCCACGCATTACAACAGAACCTATGTGGTAAATGGATGTAACAAGCCATACGTTCCCAGAGGATGGCCTCACACTCCTCGGCCACTTCTGGCTTTTCATGCTGAAAGGCTTCCAACTAAGGTTTAAGGTCTAATTTATTTTACCTGCGCTAATACGCATATTAGGTAAAGTCCGGATCACAGCTTTGCGCATTTCACCGTGGCTAGCGTTTCCCCACACTCAGTGATGTTGTCGTCTGTCCAGGTTTTACCAAAATTGTCTGGTTTTTTGAGGTGGGTATCCCAGGAAAGTTGTCAGTGTGCTCAGTACACGCAGCAACTGTCCAGCTTAATGGGAATGGGACCACCTGGAGTGTGCCGGTTTTTTGTGTCTCAAAGATGGCAATCTGCCCTCTCAGACTAAAATTATTATTATTATTATTATTATTATTATTCAACGGGTGGTAGGCCCATGGGGTCCAGAATGACCATTGTGCAGGACCTTGCCCCATGCTCGCCACAGCCCTGTACCGACATCCGGATGCCTATGGTCTGATTTGTGCTGGCTATGCCTTCAAGTCCGAAGATGAAGACCTGGAATGTAAAGGCCAGGACGGTGCAGATTGGAGCTGCACTGATCAGCACCAGGAAGCTGGGGAACAAGGCTGGGAGTGGTGCTACAAGCTGGAGCCCCAGCAAGAAAATGAGCAGTCCCATGTCACACAGTGCAGTGACGAGCAGTCTCGGGAATGGGACGAAGAGCAGAGCCTGTGCTTCTTCGGGGACCGGTGCAGCGATGGAGACTTGTGCCGCAAAGATATCAAGCAGTGCCGGGAGTGGTGCCATGAGGTGGAGCAACGCTGTAGGTCTATGGTGCTATGAGTCCGAGCGGTGCCACCTGGTCAGTGCCAGGGACCAGTGCTGAGGAGATGCATTTGGCCCCAGCAACATGGTAGGTCTGCCTCAAGATGCTGCCATGTGTTGCAGTACGAGTGGCTTCTCCCAACCGGCCAGGGAATATGGCACCATCCTGGCAATTAAGTCCCTCACAGACTCAAAGGTATCCGGCGTGGACGGCAACTCATTGTCCTGAACCGCCTGACCCCGAGAGCCCATGATCACTGGCCTTGCTGGCCCCTTAGTGGGGCCGAAGTTGATGGAGGCTCTAGCTGGTGCTTCTCCCCCAGATACTTAAGACAAAAGTCATGGAGGGCACCCATTGGCATAAGCAAGATCTGCAGGGTTTAAAACCTTGGGGTTGAGGCATGCCCCAAGCCACCAGGGGAACAGGACATTTGGGGTGGGGAGAACCCCCACTCCTACACTAACTACTATAAACTAACAACTATTAACACTGCCAAACTAACCTACAATTGTACAAGTACCAGGAGAATAAAGAGCACTTGCAATAGCAAGTCCCTGCAGTTCCAACAACCATCTCTGGCTGGGAGGGACTAAGGAGGAGGCAGGCTGGCAGGGTCATATATTCACCGCCATGAAGGTGCCACAGCCAACTCAGCATGTGCTGCTGGGGGAAAAGCTTTCTGGAATCATCATGAGCAAGTACTCAAAGAACTATACATATGGGAACCCAAAATGTAGGGCAGACTTGCAGGGTGGGGACTCTACCTTGGGAAGCAGTGACTCTGAAAGAGATGTAGGGGGCATGGTAGATAATCAGCTGAACATGAACTTCCAGTGGGATGCTGTGGCCAAAAGAAGTAGCACCGTCCTTAGCTGTATAAAAAGGGAAATATCAAATAGAAGTAGGGAGGTTATCTTACTTCTGTATTCGGTGCTGGTGCAAATACTACTCAAATACTGTGTCCAGGTCTGGTGGTCAAAAAGTATGAGGATAAATTGGAGAGCATTCAGAGAAAAGCAAAAAGAATGATTCTGGGATTGGAAAACATTTTGTTCCTGATAGTGATAGATTCAAGGAGCTCAATCCATTTATTTTAACAAAGAGAAGATTAAGGGATGACTCGATTACAATCTATCACTACATAGGGAACAAATATTTGATAGTGGTCTCCTCAGTCTAACAGATAAAGATCTAACAAGATCCAATTGCTGAAAGCTGAAGCTAGAGAAATTCAGACCAAAAATTAGGCATACATTTGTAACAGGCAGCATAAGTAACTGCTGGAACAGCTTACCAACAGCCATGGTGGATCAACTCTTCTATAATCAGGCAGTTCATTGAAACATTAATGGCAATTTCCAGGCAAAGCATTACCTGGAATTTTCATTCTGCTGCACCGAGTTTCATGATGTCTCTAAAGTGCTTCTACCATCTTGTTACTTCGGGTTCAAGCTTTTTGTAAGTTTTAAAAGCAACAGCATATGAAAACCAGACTGCTCTATGTTAACATTCCATCCCTGAATGTATCACAAATTTGTATTTTAGGAGAGTGTACTGGTAATTTGGATAAATATGGAGCAGTTGATGGATTGAAGGTCTTGTGTGCAATTGTTTTCCAATTTATTTCTCTCCTAACCCACTACAAGGGCCAACCAAGCTCTTCAAACATTGTGCAATGGTGTGTATAATAACCCCATTTAGAGACAAAGCGTGCAATTCTATTATAAAGAGAATCTATCTTATGCAACAGAGACTCATTAACTGTCCAATGTGTATTGTCTCCATAATCCAGCAGTGGCAGAACCAGCTGTCTTGTAATGCATATCCTGTCCTTTCTTGCTAAGCTGTCCATCTCTTTTATATCTAGTCAATTAATTTGTCACTAGGTTAGAAGCACCATATGTCAGGGAAACATCAAAAGAAAATCCTGTGTACTTAATGCGTTCCTCATCAGCAAAAGTTTGTATTCACAGGTTCACACTTCTAAATATTCCAACACTTTAGCCAAGGATGTGACAAAATGTTACTTGTGTATCATGCTATGATGTTTATCTTTCAAATTACTTTAAAATCGCCTCCAGCCAGAATAAATTTAAGTCAGTATATAAGAGATATCAGATACTATCAACAAAAGTGGTGCAGTTATCCCCACACATACCTATTTGGGAATTCCTGACGAAAACAAAGCAGCATAAAATAACTGAGAAAGAACCCTAACTTTCACAATGCAGAGCCAAGGCAGGGGATGGATGAGCTGAAGAACATGCAATATAAACTACATATGGGTCTCTCCCATATACTCAGCCACTGGCTGATACACTGACTATATGGAATTCTGACGCATCAGCTAACAGCCTTCGAAGGAGAGCTGCTTTCAAAGTTGTGATATTTCCTGTACTGCAACCACTAAAGATGGCTCCCTGCTGCTGTTTGGACAGTGGCTGAAATTCACCCTTTCTCGCTTCATTCTTAGCCTTCGGGGGTGAATCAAGTGGAGAGGGGGCAGACAGAAATCAACCCTCCACCTACAGGAAGGCTCAGGTCTGCACCCTGGGTGGTATTCCAGCCACACACCAGGAGTAATAGTTAAGACACCTCACACCCATGATGCATGAGTCTTGGGACATGGGAGCCATGACAGTGCAGACCCAGAAAACCCTTCCTGATCCATGACAAACTCTGGCCCAGTCTGCAACTGTAATACACAAGTGGGAAGATTCTGGGGTTCTCTTACATGAGATGAAAGCTAACACACAGCAATGGCAACGGGATGAGCCCACTTTCATTGTGCGTAAGCTCTGCTCTTCGGAAGTCTCAGAGTAGGGGTTAGACTCAGTCTCCAGAAGCTCCGGAGAGGATTTCGGAGCCTCTTTGGTACCTGCTGTATAATTTGAGTAAATAAAACAGAATTATTTTTAGAACAATCTTGTCGGTCTGAGATTTGTTTTCCAGGAGAGATCTCAGAGGAGCCCACAGATCTGCCTTCAGGCTGTACTCTGACAATATGTTTCTGTGTCTCCAAGTCTCTCGCCCATTTACTCTCCTGCTTTTTATTTCCTTCCTCTAAATATGAACTAGCTGCTGTCTTAGACTCTCGTGTCTCCCTGGCCCAGCTTACTCTGTGGCTGCTTAGAGGAAATCACTTTTTCTGCAGAGGTCTGACTAGGTAGTTGGCAAGTTCCAAGGGACTGAGTCTTCAGGCTCCCGTGGTCATTAATTTACCAAGTTGTGGTCAGGCAGAAGCACCTTACCAAGCACTAAAGATATGTCTATAGTCGACATGGAGGGACAATTTCCAGACATACCCACACAAGCTCTGCTCCAGCTGTGGTCATGGCAGCAGTGGCAAGGGCTAGCCACCCCAAACACAAGCCCGGGGTCATGGATGGGATTGTACTCAGGAGAGCGAGCCCGTCCCCCTCCCCCCCCAAGCTACACTGCTGCTTTCAGGTGGAAGTTTGATAGCGCGGGCATGTCCACTTGAGCTGGAAATTATACTCTCCCGCT